AAGAATCTGTTATAACGTTCTTATACGCTTTCGCATGAGCGTTTGCCGTTGTTAATAGGCGAAGTATACTTTAACATACTCTTAAGCAAACATCCAAAGACTACAAATAAAGCACCTTTACGGCCATAAGACATTTTGAAGCACTTTCTATTCGCCATCTAAAACGAAGGAAAACTGACCTTAACCAAGCATAACCGAAGGAAGATCTTAACTTTTATACGAAAAAAGTGGATGTTTTCAGGTCTAAGCAAAGTCAACGTAGAGTGGAGCAATAAAGGCCTTGTTGGTACGTAACGAGAACTCAAAAGGTGGAGATTTAAACTTGTATAAGGTCAAAGACAATTTAATGTTGTCGCAGTGGAGCTATTTCACCGCAAATGTCTTGCATCTCACGTTACACCAAAAAATTTACTTATGAAAATCATTCGAGGGGACATTTCCCATGACTGGTTATAATAGTATATTTAAATCTTTATTATTATTACTAAAGATATTGTTAAATTTGGATATTGTCGAGTCAATACACGTAATAACCTTGAGATTTAACTTTTCGAACGACTATCTCTACTAATGTTAAATCTATAAATACAGTTAGTGACTTTAACGTTGGATACTCATGTATTCGCCGATCCTAGATTATTATTTAACCTCGTCGATTTCTTTTGATGGGATTAATTTCAAAAGCCTATCGGTCGGATGTCAATGAATCGATCCCATTTACCGCTGATACGGGAAGGCTGATAACAACTATTATAATATATGGCAAAACAGAAACCGTGAGTTAGAAAGGCAACTTCAAGAGATTATATCGTTGTGTCGTTACTTGAATGAGAAACAGATCGGAGAGTGAATTCCGCGAGCAAGTTACACGATTATTGTCAGAAACCCCTTTTTGCAAATCTCGCATAATCCGACTATAGAGTGAAAACATGAAATACAGTAGCTTTGACCCTTGAAATCTACATTACTATTATCCTTAATCAACCTACACCCACCAGATTCATCGAAAATAAAGAAACATCCGACACTTGCTGTGATTGGTCTTGCGCTTGTGGTCTTCTGCCATTTATTTCTCGTTGACGCCAATTCCAGTGTCTGTCGTAATTGCATGCCTCTGTTCTCATGCCTTCCGAAAAATAGAAGCTGTCCATTCTGCGATCCAACACAAATAACGGAAAGAATTGTTTACGAGGACGATGAAATTATCGTTTTTTTTGACAGAAAACCGGCAGCAAGTACTCATTTGTTGGCCGTGCCTAAAGCTCACATTCGTAAATATTATTTTTTTACTTCGCTCTAATATTTTAACATGTTTGTTTAATAATATATCTATTTTTTCAGCCACTGTGAAAGATTTGAGGGCAAAACACGCCGGATTATGTTAGTCTATATATTATGCTTATTGATTTCATTGCACACACTTGGTCGTGATATCTAACAACTTTTCTATTCCTCCAGTAAAACATATGCTCGACACTGGACACGAACTTCTCAAAGACGCTGGATACACGCAAGATCAAATACGGTACGAAAATGTCAAGTATTGTGCTTATTATTAATAATTACTGCCATGCATTGTTATTGGAAACTGACGTCTATTGTCTTATTTATTGTAGTCTTGGTTTCCATGTGCCCCCCTTCAATTCAGTTCATCATCTTCACCTCCATTGTTTAGGACTACCTTTCGTTCATATGCTCATTGGGATAAAATATACGGAAATGACACCCTGGTACGTGGATGGAAAGAAATTGTATGAAAAGCTGATACAATAATAGCGAATAGAAAATCATTTATTTATTTATAGCTTTGTATTTAGCCCATAAGGGTAGCTTTGAAATAAAGTCTGATCATTGTTGAAGAATCATTTACTATTTGCTAATGTTTATTAATATATAGCTGACGTGTTGGTAACTTATGCCATATTGTCACTATACTTTTATACCAACTTCTCGTAACTTGTTTCTAAGATCATTGAAAGGGTCGGCTTCTTCAATGATATCCTCATTCTCTTGTTTCCATTTTAGGAATTCGCTTTGATTACCTCCTCGTTGAACATATTTCCTTAGTATTTCATCAACCTCAACATTGTTCGCGTCGGACAAATACTTCAAAGCTACTGCATAATACAAATATATATCAAGGTTATCTGGATCGATATCCAGAGAACGTTTCGACGCATCAACAGACGAGGTAATTAATGCATGCTTGTCCACACTTGCGGGTAAAAACCGTAGCTGTGCTTTACGCAGACACAGCACACCAATATTCTGCCATATGACTGAATTTGTATCTTCTAATTCAGTAGCAGTGCGGAACGACATGATTGCCGTATCAAATAGTTCTAGGATTTTATCTTTATGGTCATCAGGATCAGATAGTAACATGTCAATATAATCTGTTGCTAAATCGCCTCTGTCACATAAAGCTTCAACGTTGTCATTATCCGTTTCAATGACGAAATTCAACTTTTGGAGAGCAATCTCACGCAACCTTTGGATTTGATGTATGTTTTCCTCGGATGGAACAATACTATGAGCATGGTGCGACAAAACGTTGGCCCATTGAAGCTGAATATCGGCTTCACGAGACTGTACATTAAGACTAAGCGCTTGTTCAAGTAATTCAATTGCGCGAATGTAACATTCTTCATTGATAGCGGGATCTTCTGCCATCATGGCCCGAGACGTTAAAGCTTGAGACATTGATGTCAACGTATCAATAAGAGTGCTGGGTGTAACTTTCTCCTCATCTTCGTTTGAATTATCTGGATGTGCTGATGAGGATGAACTGGCGACCTGTCCAGTCAGTTGTAGTTCTTTTTGCTGTAGACGAATCACCTTTTCAAATGCCTCAATTGCTTCATTCAGAGTATCAACTGGTCCGTCATTTGCTTCCAAATTGAAGATAATATCAGCTTTAGTCGTCAAAGCCTGAGCCATGTTGTACAACGCATCTGCATTGTTTTCATCGATAGCAATGGCCGCCTTGAATTTTTCAATCGATCTAGTTAACAGATGCACTTTCTCTTCTTCAGTTTGTTTTGGATCGTCGAGATGGGCAAGTATATACAATGTTCTGCCCCTATAACCGAAAGTGATAATTAGAATATATTACGTAGTCTCCAGCTAGGAAACGACGATGGTTTACAAACCAGTTGTACAAGCAATCACCGTTCTCAGGATCTTTGTTGTGTGCTTTCTCGTACATATCTCCGGCTTGTTCGTAATATCTCCTAGCCTTTCCAGAAGTTTGGCCAGAAGTTTGGAATCTTTCACCTAATCAATTATTCGATATTTAGAGTCGACTAATGAATCCAAATGTATATGAAAAATATAATAAAACCTCTTTCCTCGAGCCTTATTCCTTCTATAATAATTGACAAGATTAACGATTAGCCAGATCTAGTTTCATAATATTTTTTTATCATTAAAACCTATTCTTACCAGACATTAGCTTCTCAAATGATTCCTTTTTATCATCGCTCTTGCTACTGCTAGCTTTTGCTTTACCCCTTCTGCCCATAATTATTTGCCAACAGAAAACGTAGCAAGTATTCGTGACAAAACACAATATAATTGTTTTGATGCGTAAATAACACGAAGTTACACAGCAATCTTCGGAGTTAAGGCCAAATAAAGATTAGTACCTATACTGTATTACTATATGTTTATAACGTCTGTGTAAAATTCAGGAATATGGTTATACAAGAAACTATGGTTCCTTATTCTTAGTATTGGCGCGGTGAAAACGCCATCGATTTCTCGATGAGAAATATGCAGCATTCGACATTCGTGCCTTGTGGCAGGGCGAGTCAAACATTGAGGAGAACAATCGATCGTCAACGCTAGGAATTCATCCGTGTGGATTTCTCCTGCTTTAGTTAAATATAGAGACAGTTATTGACCTTTAAACCAGGCTCGACCTGGTGTCGATCTAATCCTAAATAAATATTCGTCCTCTCTAAGTAATTCATTATTCCTTCCGATGTAATCGTATTATCGATATAGGGATTAGCGGTTTCTAAGCTATATCGAATATTGGAATAAAGTATCAATTGTGTATTTCAGAGTATCTGGTATGAGGAACTACTCGTTTATTATAATAATAAAGGATGCGAACATAACGGAAGTCGAGTCTCTTATATCCAAATTGGCACTTTATTCGATTTTTATCTGAATTATTGCAGCGGCATCATTGTTGGATAATTATGGTGTAGTGAAAGGGCCCTGATCTAAAATCCTACACGTCATCGCCACTCTAAAGAAAATTCCTAAGATTGCGCTTATCTTTGAGGTCCCAGCTGGGACAATCACTGGGACAATGGCTTAAAAGAGTTGGTTCTGTACTGTGCGGGAAAATACCGATTTTGTGCGGCTCATACTCAGGACAGTTAACAACACCAATTTGCCCACATTTAGAATGATCACACCAAACGCAATAAACATTGCAAAAAATAAGACTTTGCCAAACTTACAATAAACGTTCGTAAAAAAAAAGCTTGATTTCCCGAGTGAATTCTTTTAAAAAGGGTAGCGTTATCAGGCAATAAAAATTTCCCTCATAATCAGGATGCCTCATTTTGGCCAATGACAAAATTAATTGTCGATGAAATGAACCAAACGCCATAGCCGAAGAGTTAAATTTATTAGAAGGATGTCAAGAAGTTTTAAATGTTTTTGATAGTAGAAGTTTAAGTCGGAGAATTTTTTATAACCCCTTGAAGTTTTTTGTTGTCAATGAGCTTTTGAATAAACGTATTTCTAATTGCTGTATCTACGCTGTCTAATTGTTGGGATATATAGATTATGTCCAGCTTCACTTTTAGTCGGTCGGTTGTGAGTCTTGAAAGCCTTTTCCATTGTCGTAAGTTCGGGTTGTTGTGACATTAATATGTTGTGTGTTAACGAGTTGTCAATAATTTACAATTACATTCATATCAAATAGAATACTACGACCAAGTAGTGAAATCGACTGAACCTATCGTTTACAATTATTAAAGAGCTCACTCTAAGCGCAGCTAAGAACGATTATAAGGAGTTCCTTAAAAAGACGCGTCGAGATTGTCGCCTTTGTTCTAATTATTATACTCTTTGACTAGAGATTGTTGTTAGTCCTTGTTCTTGTGCCATTCTCATGCGGGATAAGCCAGCTTACGGAAGTTAGAGTAACATCTAACTGTAGATTATAATTAAGGAATATTAGACCAGACAGGAAAGAACATTCAATTAACGGTTAATGTTTCATTCATTTAAATAATTTACGCGAGTGTGCGTTTATACCTTCTAAAATCGATCCAGCTGACAGCGTTTAAGAAAATTGATCAAAATTGATAGCGTCTACTTGCCAATATATTACTGGATATTAAAAAATTGTTATGCCTATTCATATTAATATTATCTTCAATTTATACATGCCTTCATGTTTGAGTCTAACTGATATTCAAGTTTAACATCTACGCTTTATAGCCTTTAGACACTTTAGTATTAGCAATACTCTCACCAATTACAACGCAGTTGACTAATAAATAAAATGTAGTTAGCGAGCTGTTTGGTATCGTTGAAATCCACTTTCCATCCAAGATGCAGGGGCGCATAGGATACCATGGTGGACACAATATCAATAATTGTCTTTACACGCGTGCATACAGCCAATGCATCGCATACGTCATCATTAGTTGTTCGCATGCATGCATGGATTAATTTGTACCTGATGGATGCAACCACTTCGAAGGAAAATATTTGGGGGTTTCCCTGGATAATGGTGTATATTAGGTATAAATGTTTGCAATCGTCGATCTATGAACCTAAGTTATTGCAAACTGGAACACAAACATTTAAGAAAAGGTACAACTGGCGTGAACTATGAGGATACAATTCATAATAAGAACGCGTAAAATCCCAAAATTATTTATCTATTAAGTACCGCGTTTGACCAGAAAAGTGTAAAAGAGAAGCTCTTATTTACAATAATGAAGCGTAAATTTGTTACCATGATGGCATGTCTAGGTTTATTGCGTTATACAAGAGTCCATTGCACTAATTAGTTAATATCACGAGGGGAAGAAGATTAAATTTAGAGAAAAATGAAGCTTGAGCTACTAGTCCTTCTGCCGTTTGGTCTTACTGCTTTCCGATCTAAGAATCGAGAAGTGAGGAGAATCAATGTAGTGTATAAAAACGAGACAATTTATGACGTGCATAAAACTTACACAGCTTCTAGTCCACGTTTCACACCCTTTTTTGCAGCATCCAAGAAACGGTTGATATCAAATGGATCTGCTTCCTCTCTCTCAAACTCAATAGGACCAGTTCGAATCTTAAAAAAAGGTAACTTGTAAACATTCTGTTGGATGATGAACGGCACCTTAAAAGACAGTTGTCAAACTTCATACCTGACCGGCTTCTGCGGATTGGCCAGTTTTGGCCAAGAGTTGTCTGATATTTTCATCACCGTCAAAAAGATCTGGGTCATAGCTTTTCTTTGGATTATATATCATGTTGGCGCTAGATCCCGCAAACAAGGGTTTGTCATAGAGATCATATGCTGGAAAAAAAAGAAACAATGTGAATAAGATCCTTTGTCACGAATGCGATAGGAGCCAAGCAAATATGCGTATATTGACGGTAGTATACCTTCGTCATCCTTGAAACCAGATGAGAGACCACCTGAATGACTAAACAGTCGTGGATCAAGCAGACTGTCTTTGCTCATTGTGGGTTTGGCAAGCCCTAGTGCGACTTGTTCTGAAATATCACGGCCTTCCTCACTAAATTAAAAGCGCGTAAATCGAACAGCCCTTTATACTCGTACTTCAACGAAGAATCACTCGGAAACTTACCGGGCTAGGTATTTCGCTTTCTGTTCTGCTCCCATACGAGACAATCTATATTCTCTCTCTCTTTCTCTCCGTCGATCCTGTCGTATTTCGTCTCGATGTTTGACCTTTTCTTCGTCAGACTCCTCGCCAGATTCTGACTGTTCTCCAGCTTCAGAAGATGGTGCTGCAGCAGACGTTGATAGCCCTGCCCTAGAAAATTCCAATCAATTACTATCGAGGCCGTCAATTAATACCTTGACTTGTAGTATAATTTTACCTTTCCTCGCGAGCCTTCTGTGCCAACATGCGTAATCGTTTCTCTTTCTCCTCCTTCTCTTTTTGTGCAAGTTTTTCTCGCATTAAACTGCGCTGACGTACTTCTTCACGAGCATGTCGATCAGCAGCGAACAGCGCTTCAGACAATTTTGCAAAATTATCGTTTATTGTAACCTATATTGCATCAATACACGTTTAGGTTGTCTTATTCATGAATCATAAGCTGAGTACGTTTGGAGACAGTAATGCACATACCTCTTGCAATCCGCGTCCATCTGCTGCTAAACGTTTATCGAGTGGAATTGTATAACCTTTAGCATTTTTCCAATTCGATATGCAAGGAGGAATGACCCACTCTTGTTGCTCCTTTGCAGAAGTTTTACGCGGTGGTGAATGTAGAACAGGAGCCGGGGGTGAAGGTGGACCTATTGAAAGTGTTTCCTCAGTCTATAAATACATCGATCAATCAGAACAATACCAAATACCGTTAACTTACCGCGAGGCACTTTTTTGTGTTTAAACTTTGGCGGTTCCATGGGATCCGTTGGCATTTCTACCATTCTTATAATACGTTGACTAGCGCCAGAATTAAACGATTCCCCTTGTTGTGCGGGCGTATATCTTATATAAGCCGGTTCGGTAGCAGGTTTGTTTGTTTTGACATTTTTAGGTTGTGCTGCTCTTATTTTCCCTACAGAAAAAAACGCACGTGTTAATAAATTCATATTAGAGAGTTTGGGCGAGAAGATAAAAATAAAAGAAAAACCTTGCACAATCTTTTCCAATGCTTCTCTTGTCTTATCAGTTGTTTCTTTAACCAAATCGTCGGTAGGTCTTTCCAAATCGACTTTTTCGATGTCAACCCTTTGACTTAGTGGAACTAAATCTTTGAATTGTGAGTGAATTACGCGATTCTCGGAATGGCCTTGACGAGCAATAGCATCATAACGAATGCTGCCTTCTGCATCCACCTGTAAAGTAAGAGATCCTCCGCTTGTGCCCTATTTTACATTAGACAAAACTATTATTTTAAGATTTCGAACTTTTATTACCAATAACAAGGTAATTTGACGTATAGAATAAACAGGCAACGCACTGTCTTCTTTCGGCCCATGTCGAGAGGGTATTGGGCCATGTGGATCTCTGGAAAGGCACCACCCTCACCAAAATCTTCGAGATTTCTTGGCTTCCAATCGGCTCGATGGCCATATGGTGGGGGACCTTTTGTGCGTTTCGTTGCAGTCAACTCGTCGAAGCCACGTTCATATTCACTGTGCTGTTCGGAGCTCAGCTGAGTATGTCGAGGCTTTGGTAAAACACTGTAACAGTGAATTTGAGGTAAGTAATCAAAGCATCGTCGTCTCCCATAACTTTCAAACGCAGGGTACCCACTCCTAACAACGCCGATCGCCAAAGCAGCCGACTAATCTTGCCAAGAAGTGTACCTTGAGAGTGTGGAATTCATAATCTGGATAGTTTTAGAGAAATTGGCGTCGTCCAAGTCGACAAAAAAATTATTTGCCTTTCAGATGGGATCCAACTGTAATTAGTGTTTTCATACATGTGACTCTCGATTGCGTAACACGCAGACAACAATATTATGGCGTTTTTCCATGGTTTCTAGATCTATAAAAACTTTACACCCTTGACTGCTATATAACATTTTTCACTCTCTCCTCATAATAAATAAAAGATAAAGCAAAATGTCGACCGAAGCTCGTCGCAGGCTTATGCGTGACTTTAAACGGCTACAGAATGACCCCCCGGCTGGCATTTCAGGAGCGCCTTGCCCCGACAACATCTTGCTTTGGAACGCAGTCATCTTCGGTCCTGGTATGTATGCATGTTGGGCATTACAGAGTAATTTTGGTAGAGTGCTTCTAAATAGTATTCAAAGTTCCATAGTGACCACAGACAGTTTATTCGACCGTTTTACGTGCTGTGCTAGTTGCTTTAGGGCAAACTGGATGACTGCGACAAGCTGCTTATATTCAAAAGTATGGAGAGAACACTCTGATTATTAATATTGTCTTTTTGATTTACTATTCCATATAGCCGAAACACCGTTTGAAGATGGTACGTTCAAACTGGCGCTTCAGTTTGATGAAAGCTATCCTAACAAGCCTCCGACAGTGAGGTTCATCTCTAAAATGTTTCATCCGAATGTCTACGCAAACGGCGAACTGTGTCTTGACATTTTGCAGAACAGATGGTCGCCGACATATGATGTTGCGGCTATTTTGACAAGTATTCAGAGTTTATTACATGATCCCAATCCAAATTCACCGGCAAATGCGGAGGCTGCCAATCTCTATCGAGAGAACAGAAAGGAATACACAAGAAGGATACGGGATATTGTAGAAAGTTCGTGGGAGTGATTCCCTCATACCCTCTGTTGCTGACTGCGTTAATTGAAATGTATCTAATTATCTAATGGTTGTTTGACACGTGGTTGGTAATTGTCGGGTGTATGCGGCTATTTTTTTTTTTTTTTTTAATTTTTTATTTTTCAAATTCAAGTCTTCTTCACTTTGTCATTCAAAAACTTTCACTGTAGGTTATTATTTCAATAAATGAACATTGATTACGGCTGTGCTTGGCGGAACATTCCTACACTAGCAACAAATTTTGGTCTTTTTCTTCTACTGTTCATCATTTGTCTTGTATTCAATTTGGCTTACAATTAACAATTAGAGCATAAATAAAGTACAAAATGTAATTTAAAGGCAAGAAAATGATCAAGTCTCTTTTTATCAAAAGAACTTTGGTTTTGATGAAGCGTTTATAACTTCAATGCTAGTGCTGCAATCTCATTTCTTTGCCCGCAAGTCTTTTGCTAGTCCTTCCATTACAACGTAAATGTTAAAGTCGGGATAATTATTTCTTCCTTGCTGTCAGTGATAACCCATTTTCGTTAATCTTCTTGTTGCAGCGATAGTAATAGCCATGTATTTGAATCAATCATGTAGTCTTGTTTGTTTTCAAAGTCAATTGCTAGAATTAGAGTTAATCGAGTGTCTACTACTATGGAAAGACATTTGCTCTGCGGAATGCACCCTACTATTACGGAATTAAAAATTACGACTTTGCACAATAATATCATTCAACTTCTAAAAACATTAACATACTCGACTTTTTTCCAAGTTGATATTAATTCTATGTGCCACGTGGTCAACCAGTCTACTATTAGAAACTTGTCATTTGTCACGTCATACGCCATTTAGTAACTCAGACACCTTCCAACTCTGTAAACAGAATGAACTATTGGTAACATAATATTTGTTACACACAGTATGTAAAGCAAGTTGGCGTTTGCTTACACGATTTACCATATATAGGCAGACCATCTCGTTATGACAATGAACTATTAAGATCGGCATACTTTACCAAGCCCGTATCATTAACTCGTTACAAAAGTCGCAATACAGGTAATGAGGATGATAACAAACGAGCGAAGAGTGAAGTACAAGCCTTATATTGTGCATAGGCTTATCTGATATCTGTGCATTTGCCAGTGATAATACTTACACTTGGTGACAGAATATCTAACTCTTTCTTTGTCTTTTTATTTATAGTATACATACTAATAAATGTCTTTACTGGACATGTATCGGAGATTATTTTCACGCCGACTGCTTTTATCTTTCGTATTGGTAGCGACACTATTTCGCTTGTTACCATTGGCAAAAACAGAATACACTTTAGAGACATCTTTTGTTTCAATTAACACAAACTATATAAAAAAGTGTTCGTATGTCGTTAAATTAATAGAAGAGGGTAAACATGTTCCTGTGGAGGAAAGTACAATGGACAAATGTCCGTATCTATTGGAACGCTGGTCCAGTATCGAAGGAAATCCAACACATACAGAATTTGCGAGCGGAACGCCTTCAACAGAACCAACTGAAATCCACATCTCCAGATCAACGCAATCACCGATCCATATGAAACTCTGTCCATACATCTCTCTTCTCTCAGCAGAAAAACGTGCTCGCCTCTCTCATTCCTCTCCATTGCAAAAAACGATATTTTCTTTTCTTTTTCCTGGTTCGCCAAAAGTTAACTCGTTGCTTGCTACTTTTTACATTTCATCGATACCTAATTTCATACTTTTTTTCGTTCCTCCTGATATTCAGCCGCCGTCATTAAACACATTGGTGAGTTTTGCTGTCGGTGGGTTGTTGGGAGATGTGTTTTTGCATTTGTTACCACAGAGTTTCATGGGAGAGACTAGTGACGATGACGTGCATTTTGTTATGATAGATGAGAAAAGGAATGTGGTTATTGGGTTGGGGTTATTTGCGGGATTGGCGTGTTTTTTTGTTATTGACAAGAGTATGAGAATTTTAAGCGGGGATGGACAACATGAGCATGGACATGGACATACCCATGGACATGCCCACGAGCATCAAAGTACCGTCGAGCGTAAAAGTGTGAAGGAAACGGGAGAGAGTACTGCTATAAATAAGATATCGAACGATGCTAAAAGGCGTAATACAAGCCAATCGTCTGATAGTACTTATGACTCTACTTCATCACTATCGTCATCATCGCCATCGTCGACATCATCCTCATCCTCAGTACCGCCATCCTCCTCATCACCAAAATCTCCTTCCAAACAACCCTCGACAAGCATTCGCCTTTCAGCATACTTAAATCTTATAGCTGATGCAACCCATAATTTCACTGATGGCCTTGCAATGGCTGCTTCGTTCTACGCATCTCCGAGTGTTGGTGCGACTACAACTGTTGCTGTATTTTTCCACGAGATACCTCATGAGATTGGTGATTATGCTATACTCGTTCAATCTGGATTCACCAAACGGTATGCTTTGCTATCACAATTTGGCACTGCCTTGGGAGCATTCCTGGGTACCTTTGCTGGTATTGCTATTGAAGAGTATAGCAGAGGAGATCATCCGGCGGGGGAAAAAGGATTTAATGTTGGTGATGTTGGTGATGGTATATGGGGTACCAGTGTTCATATGAGTGATTTGGTGATACCATTTACTGCTGGTGGCTTTATATATATTGCTACAGTAGGTGTGATTCCCGAGTTGTTGGAAGTATCAGGGAAATTTGGGAAGGATATCAAGCAAGGTATAACAGAGTTTGTAGCCATGTTGATTGGAATTGGTATGATGGCTGTTATTGCTTGGAATGAAGACTGAGAGAATTATTTTGATGATGGGCAAAATTAGTAGTGACTTGTAAAAAGTGAAATACCCAACTAAAATTGTAATAAAGATACAAGTGATCAGGAGTAATTCTGTTCTTTCTAATGCACGAACACCTTTACTTATGTGTTATTAATAAAGGAACGCAAACCTTCAGGATGTAATGATTCTTTTACCCACGAAGACGTATGGTTCAGTCGATTATTTTCAAATTGATCCGCGTAGTATATTATGAATTAGATTCATTTATTATCTATAGGTTAGTATTGATTTATCTAATTATAATTGGACTCTCTAGTCTAATTGGGGGGGTTTGCAGCCAATTCGTATCGGCGTACTAAATATGATTAATTATAAGTAATTATCATATCAAAGAATATTAAGAATTAAGAAATTGCATCTAACAATAATTTAAAGTACTTTGATAACGAACAATGATATTTACAGTATAACCCCAACAAAACTCAATCGTGATTGTTACTCCGTAGGTCATCTTCTCTTATCCTCTCTTTATCAACCAACAGATCATAAGAAAGAATCCATGTCTTGGTTCGTTTCCTATATTCTCTATACTCATCACCAAAGAATCTAATCAAAGTTGGCTCCTCTTCCTTGAGTCTCTCGCTGAAGAAGTAATGCAATGTGCGCACAAACGCTGTTAGACAGATTGGGTTAAATAACATCATTTGCGTGCCAATGGCCCAATAATAAAAACCAAAGTACGATGGGTGACGGAGATAACTAATATTTGAACAATGAATAATAAATAGAAAGATGGTGAGATTAACTTTTAACGCAACAGGGTAGATCAATAATTTCGATCTCATGATGTGCACTTACGCATAAACACCCGTTGTTACTAGTTCGTGATCGGGTTGTTTGTAATATACGAGCTGATGAGAGAAATTAGATTTTGCATGCCACATGGCAAGACTTCTTGCTGTCTGACCCACTATTATGCAGAACAGACCTAATAGATCACATGTACAACGAACATCCATCAATCAATAGTGAGGGACTTGTTCTAATCAATTACTTCTCATAATTGAAATATGTAGCCTCACCTATTAAATTAATAAAACCAAACTTCTTCGTCCCGGGAAATAACCACAACTCAATCAGATATTCGATCATACCCGATGCAAACGCGATATGATACGCCTTCCCGTTGTTAATCAAGAAAGCTACAAAATCAAATCTTGATGTAAAACACAAGCTACATATGATGTTAGACTACCGAATCCTCTCCTGACCCTCTCACTCACTATCAAGACTTAATTTGTCGGCGTTAAACATTGCGGTCAGCAGATACTCAAGCACATGAAATAGTCCGAGTGCGGCTATAAAGAGTCCCAATTGAAATAATTTTTCAGAGTACAACGATATCCCGATACCAAGGCCGAACAGACTCCCAACTATAAAGCCATGTAAAGCTATATTCTGAGGAGTATGCTGGCCATCTAATATCGGTATCTTGCTACTTGGGAGAGGTTGTTCATATTCATATGGAGGAGTAGAATCACCGTTTGCGTGCAAACTGTCCGCTATTGATTCCATTGATCGAGTGAGAGAGATACAACCAGAATTTGAAGTCGAGAGGTGAGGGGGATAATAAAGCAGCTTCTTAACGAAACCGGTCAACTCGAGTTTCGTTCAAACATATTATGATCATAATATAGATGTTGCGGGCATTCTGGGATTCAGGATTGTCACTATTTACTTTGATTTTATCACATAAAATGTATTGTTAACATCCAAATGTACATGGGATTATTGTGATGTGATAATCTCGAAAACGGCCGTATTTGCGCCCACTTTTTTCAATTATAGTCAAGAAATCCTAAATCCCCACACATTTATCCCACACTTTTAACGTCGAACAGTATATTCCTATATATAGTATTTTACACAATGCTGACCGGAATTAATGTTGGTTTTTACAATGAAGATTACCCCTTATATAGGAATTATAATGTGCGACGTGGGATTTCTTGACTATAATCTATTTTCAACAATTAAATTATTTAATCAGGTTTCAAGATGCATACAGTGCATGCCAAGTTTGCGCTCGTAGTTGGATAAGAGAAAGAGGTTTTACCAACATGGCTACAGTGTGTTGTACGTGGACATTTGGATCGAGTCCTCTCTGGAACTCTTGCCAATCTCAAAGAATTGATTAACAATACCACAATAGTGACTCCCACGATTAAGATGAAACGTTAAGTTGTAGGCACTCCAATGGTATCAGATGTTCATAATCCGATTTAAACTTATTAATATTAATATCGATACATTCTGTATCAGAGATACAAAATGCGGGTTATATTTGGATTCACAAGGTTAAATTAATTGAACCAAAATTAACTATATTAGTTAATAACTATTTTAGCTTAGCAGTGCCCTGCATAAAGTTTGTTGTCTTTAATAAACGGCGACGTGTTATGAGTGAGGCAAGTGGCCTAATTGGGGACTTGTTTTGGTAATACTAATTGAATTCATTCATACCCATCGAGACAAGGCGGACAATAATAACTAATAATAATGTTGCATGTCTATGAGAATACGTATAATAACGGATTGATATAGTTCCGGGAAGTGGCCTCATTCGTGATTACTTTGCAATCAGCGATCTTCTTGAGATTACGTTTGAAAATCTCTTCCACGATCAAACCGTCTATGTCTATTTACTGGAATTATATATCGCGTTCGATATTTTCTTGCACATTTAGATCACGTATTGTAATGGATCCACTGGTTACAATAAAGCGTTTATTTATTTTACCAAAACCTATAGTAGATTAACATTTGACAAAAGCAAAGCAAAAAGACTGGATTTTTCTGTCAACAAAGTGATTGGGCAAACAATACTTATAGCATTACTAAATAAAGAATGTCAGTTATATGACAATATGAAAATAAAATTAAATCATTGCTTTTTATTTTATTAAGTTTAGTTGGTTCAGGTTTACATCAATGAAACTTCTTTCACAAATGAGTTATAATCCTTAAAGCATGTTGTTTTTGTTAAAAACTGACCATCAGTATTACGAAACAATCTCTACTTAAATTCAGTCTACACTGAATAATATCGAGACTTCAAATGGACGGTTAACGACACGAATTTAATCGTAATAGTGATCGTACAATTCATCAAAGTTTCTGGCTTACTAAAATAAACACCGATACATTAGTATTCATAGATTATTTTTCTTAACATCAATACAATTAATACCTACAATTGTACCTATTCTCGATCTCTAATAGGTAGGAGTTTACTAGAATATTTACTCTCCTTCTCAAAACGTGACAAGGGTTTTACGTCGTTATGATAGATGGTATCCCAAATAGGTTTATCAGAGTTCTGTATATCCCATCTAAAATAATAACAAAAAGAAAAAATATCTGGACGATTGTCAGATTGGCATCGCAACACAGCATGGCAATATACTTACAAACTGTTGGTGCTGAATAAGGCATCCACGGCAGTAGTCCATTCGAAATATCGTGTACTAAACTATTATCAAATTGTCTATTTCTGAAAGGCGGTTCACCGCTAGCAAGCAAATACATAATAATACTGAAGGCATATACGTCTGATTTCTGAGTGAATTTGCCCGTAGTGAAAACTTCCGGCGCAACAAAAGGCAAGACTCCTTTAATGCAAGTTGATTCGTATTTCTCCGATCGAGCTAGACCAAGATCGAGTAGAAGTGGCCTAGGCAGAGGAGAATCATTTCCAGGCAAGCTACGGGGCTTGACGTCCATGGCTATGTTGTCTCCATGGAGGTTTCTATGTACCAATCCGCAGCGATGAATCCAATGCAGACCAAGTTTAAGATCACCCAAAAACGCACATTTCATCCTCCATGTCATTTTGTTAAAATTTTGGTCCAGATAAGACCAAAGATTACCATGCTTAGCATATTGCGAAATAATCATGTATTCGTGTGTCTCCCTTTGTCGCGCAACTCCATAGTGTCTTAGGAAATCTTCGCTGGAGTAAAAATGTGTAAAACATTTGGCTTGGTTTACGACCTATGAAGAAAAATAATAAAATGTTGAGATCCAGCATAACTTGAATTAATAATGTTAGAGATCGCTTACCTCGAAAATAAACAAGTCCGTCATCTCCTCAAAATTTTTAAACGCTTAAAAACAACAAGATCTTCTGAAGCGTTTTTATATTTGGCAGTATAAACTGTTGCATAACCACCCGATCCAATCTCTTCGATTTCATTAACATCGATATCCTGAATAATCTGTAAATCGTCATCAAATGGCAGATGCAAATGTTTATCCAGTATCGTGTCTATCTCATAGTGGAATACTAAATAGTAGTCCCGAGTAGACGACTCGTGAGTGATACCAATGATCCAAACATTATCAGTTCCTGACAATATCTCCGGGTAATCTTTGGTCAACTATTGGTTAAACAATACAATTTGATCAAAACACGTCCTCATTATTCAAATGTAATAATGTCGCTACATTATTTACGCGTAAAAGTTCTTTTACCTGATAAAAATCAAACGACTGTGCATACTGTCCATCGACTATTTTCTTGAGTATCACTCAATTTATTTCTTGCTGGTTCTAAACAATCCGCTGTATGTGTGCATCCATGGTGTAATAATGGGGTCTCTCGCACGTTTGTCAACCGAGAATACTCTATCCATTGTAGATAGCCATCGTCATCAAACACAGCATCACGCCATGATTTTTCTATAAACGAATCCAATGCCTTGTTGCCGGTAGTCCAATAAGGAGCCGTGGTTTTGCAATCAAAACAGAATGACTTTAGCACAGGGTTTAATGGTGCTGTACATGCTAGACAAAGGCCAACTTCATTTATATCTTTAATTAAAAAATATTCTTGTGATTCATTATCAAATGTAAATCCGATAGTGCTCCAAAAAGTAGGATCAAGCAAATCCGGATGGTCATCGCATAACTGGAGGAAATCAACGTTAATGACTAGTAATATAAGATTCACT